CCTTAGGACGTTTCACATACCGCCTGAAAAGAGTATGTAATATTTTTTCACTAAAACTTCAAGGTGGTAAATTCTGCACACTCGAGAACACCACCTGTGCCTGCTGTAAACATCAAATGCTTGTCACACCATGCCACATTTGTGATTCTGCGTCACATGTGTTACTGTGATCAATAGTTTTAAGTACAATTATTGCCTTTATATTTTCTATACATTAAAAATGTTAAGTTTTGTCAATATTTTCCACTAATTACAAAATTTGTCAACTTAAAAAAAGCAGCACTGGGGCTTCCCTCGTGGCGCAGTGGTTGAGAGTCTGCCTGCCGATGCAGGGGACACGGGTTCGTGCCCCGGTCCGGGAAGATCCCACATGCCGCGGAGCAGCTGGGCCCGTGAGCCATGGCCGCTGAGCCTGCGCGTCCGGAGCCTGTGCTCCGCAATGGGAGAGGCCACAACAGTGAGAGGCCCACGTACCACACACACACACACACACACACACACACACACACAAAGCAGCACTGGGAAACCAGTACCAGCAGGGGTAATCCATTCCCCATTAGTTGGCATCATGAATGAATGAGCCAGTCAAGTGCTAATTACTTACTCATTGTAGAGTTAGACAAATGCTAAAAATTATTACTTGGCTGACTGGTTTGTTTGGGAAATAGTTGGCAATACTTTGATGAGTAAAAATATATAAATTTACAAAGTGGTTTATTGTGTCACAGAATTATCTAGTACTTAGTTTACGTACTATGTTTAAACAATACTATTTACGCTCAAATTTTGTTCAAAGTACCCGACCAGTGACTCCCACCTTCTGAACGTCCCGGTGCACCTGGGCAGGTAACGTGATCTAAGACAGAAAGTAGGGAGGCTGTGCCTTGCGCCTCTGCAGACGTGGCTAAAACAGAACAGAACCAACCCTTCTGACAGCCACTCCTAGAACACATTAAATTCAACTTTCAGGCTGTCAGGCAGCGCACATATCCTCGTTTATCTCCTTTACCTTGTACGATGCCCCAAGGGTACTGGCGAGCTTTGACCATCTTATTTCCAACTTTCACCTCATCCATACTTCCTACCACAGCAAACGGCAAGTGTCCCTGGAAAGGAGCCAGGACATCAATCACATCTCATACCAGTAAAAACAGAGAAGAGAAAATTTACTAAATAACAAATGTGTCAAAGCCAAAAGATCTGCTGTGCCTCAGCTTTTAAAATGTGCCCCGTGAGTATGTGTTCACAGCTGTCCACGTGTACGCCAACTGTTCTACAGAGTCATCTTCAGGCCCCAGAGAGAGAATTATCTACTGAGCATGCCCCACATGTATTCCTATTTTGCTGCAAGAATACAAAAACAGAATTCTAGCACAGGTATCATTTCCCTCATTATTATCTTGGTCCTAAAAGACAAAGATAACGTTGAGGAAATCACACACACACCCCCCATATAACCAAAGTGTATATATATAGTGTATATCTACATATATAACACAAATATAAAATAATATTTAAGTCCCAAACTAATGCTAAATACAAATGTTATAGAAATTTAGAGGAGGGAGAGGTCTCTTTGGGCAGGAAGACACAACCCAAACTGGAGACAGATCAAGCAGAATAGGAAGAACTAGCATAGTAAGGAGAAGATTTTGAACAAAGATACAATAGCTGGATTTAATAGCAGTGAGTAGACCGTCCTGTCTGAAGCTGAGGATTAATGTAGGGGAAAAGTCTAATGTAAACAGTATCATGTTTAATATTTTAATAATTGACAATATTTAGTCTCTTAATTGTACCCCTCTGAAAACTTATGCCAGGTGGGCACAAAAAACAAATTAGATATAAAGACAATTTAACACACAGAAATTAATATCACTTCCCTTTACATTAGTCAGCTTTCTATATATTTAAGTATCTTAATATGAACAAAGTATGAAAAAATCAGAAAAAAGGGGAGAAATGGAACAAACAGGTACTGAATGTCACTGTGTCAGGCAGTGAACAAAGCTGTATCCTCACAACAACCCTTAAGACAGGTATTATTAACCCAATTTCATAGATAAGTTAACAGTCTCAGGGAGGTTAATAATTCCCACAAGAACACATGGTAAAGTCTGACTCCAAAACCCATGATCCGTCAAAATGTAACCAAGTATTTAAGAAATCTGGTAGCCTCAAGTAACACAAAGAACTTAGTCATCCTCAATCACATTAAGTTATGTATAATTAAAATATACTAAATATATTCTGTATTAAAATATTAAAAAAGTATGTGAATATTTCATATGTACCTGTGACCCTGTAAGGGAGAACGAGCTTCAGTACCAGATTAGAAAGCTCTCCTTAAAGATTTTAGGATCCTAAAGCATTCTGAGGGAGGCCGTAATGTCTTCTCATGTTCTTAAAGACAGGACAGAAAGGAATCTTTCTAAGGCAATTAAATATGGTTCCACAAAAGATGAAGCCCGGTCTCACAGATGTATCACTTCATTTAGGTGAAAGTAGGGAGGAAAGAAAAATGCTCAAAAATATATTTTCATTATACTTTTCCAACTCTAGAAAATAAAACATTTCCCTATACTGGACTCTTTCAAAATTCACCTTGTTTTGGAAGACAGAAGTGAAAATACATTAGTAGCAGCGTTACTTATAAATCACTTTTTTCATATGTAAAACAGAAATAATATTCAGTTAAGAGCTTACATTCATTGAAGCATTGACTTTAGCAATAGTTTCATCATCTGTTGGGAACTGGTATATCTGAACACCATTGCTGACCAATTCACTCATGAGCTTGATCTTAAACTTCTGTAATTCAGTTTTAGAAATTGCATCTGCTTTGGCAATCACTGGTATAATGTTCACCTATTAAGAATAAAGAGAAACAAAATCTCATGATTGAGGATTTATTTTTTAATCCTGAAGCTTTTGCATTCAAAACCACTCAGTCCCTGACAAATTTCCTTGACCTAGGTCAGAGGACAGGCAAACTACAGTCCACTCACTCCCTGTTTACATAAATAAAGAGTTACTGGAACACAGCTAGGCCCATTCATTACACATTACATATTTCCTATGGCCACTTTCATTCTATAATAGCAGAAGTGAGTAGTTGTATCAGAGGCCCACGACCTGCGAAGCCTTAAGTACTTACTACCTGGCCCTTCACAGGAAAAGCTTGCCAACTCCTGACGTAGAATCATTGGCTTCATTTTTACCAGATAATCGTATACAACCACTCCTACAAATGCTGGCCTTACAATAACTGCTTTTAAAAAGCAGAGCTCTGGCACTTCCCTGGTGACAACAGTGGTTAAGAATCCGCCTGCCAATGCAGAGGACACGGGTTCAAGCCGTGGTCCGGGAAGATCCCACATGCCGCGGAGCAACTAAGCCCGTGCGCCACAACTACTGAGCCTGCTCTATAGAGCCCTCAAGCCACAATTACTGAGCCCACGTGCCACAACTACTGGAGAACTCGGGCCTAGAGCCCATGCCCCACAAAAAGAGAAGCCACCGCAATGAGAAGCCCGCGCACCGCAACGAAGAGTAGCCCCCGCTCACCGCAACTAGAGAAAGCCCATGCGCAGCAACGAAGACCCAACGCAGCCATCCACCCATCCATCCATCCATCCATCCATACATACATAAATAAATAAAGCACAGCTCTTATAAAGTTCATCTTTCATCTGAATTCAGGTTTAGAAATCTCACATTTTCTTCTCTCAGTCTCTGACAATTCCATCATACACAAAATAAATAAAATGTAAGCCGTGAGCTGAAATCCACTGCATAATTATTAAGAATTTTTTATTTCTTAATACTCTAAGCACTAATTAATCAGGGTGACTGATCTCAGCAGACCTACGGAACAGGCCAAGGGCCTCCTTCTGCCTCTCATTTAAGCAGGTCCCTTTTCCCAGTGACTTCATCTGACCTGCACCCCATTGTCAGACTCTTACCCAGATGTTGAAAGAAGGAGATTTTACGAATACCAACTAAAAACGTTCACGACTCAAAGGAATAACTTTCTCAGCATTGTTTTTTTTAAAATAATTTTATTTTATTTTTGGCTGCGTTGGGTCTTCATTGTTGCACGCTGACTTTCTCTAGTTGCGCTGAGCGGGGGCTGCTCTTCGTTGCAGTGCACGGGCTTCTCATTGCGGTGGCTTCTCTTGTTGCAGAGCACAGGCTCTAGGTGCATGGGCTTCAGCAGTTGTGGCACATGGGCTCAGCAGCTGTGGCTCGCGGGGCTCTAGAACGCAGGCTCCGTAGTTGTGGTGTACGGGCTTCGTTGCTCCGTGGCATGTGGGATCTTCCCATATCAGGGATCTAACCCGTGTCCCCTGCACTGGCAGGTGGATTCTTAACCATTGTGCCACCAGGGAAGTCCCCCTTTCTCAGCATTATTTAAAAGTCCTATCACTGGCCTGAGAGGAAGAGATGTGGGGTCCTGAAGACCAACTGACCTGCGACGCTAGTTCCGTATGATTAACGTCCCCACCGAAGAGTGATATCTCCACAAATTCAGGGGTTTATAGGTCTTTTGGGTTATTAGTTCGTTTTTAGTGAAAGACTTCAGGCTAAGTAGTCATGTGTGCCCAGAGAGTGAGCTATCAATGTAATTTTCAGAATGAAAGTGAAAACTAAATATCATAATTCCTTTTCTATTCTTAAATGTATTTTTCTTCTCCAATTTCACACTGATTTACTGTGTACATTTGGATTTATTGGTCTTAAATACGTTCCAAAGGAGGTAAAGATTTTTCCAACTATCCATGAAATAAACTTTTCAGCAATTGTGGGTAAACAGCTTTGAAGATAAGTTAGTCAAAGTATATAAAAATTTGATGCCAAATTCTTGATTTTGGTATCATATAATATTGATACATAGATATTCAATAAATTATGCCAAGTTAGTAACTTCTAATTGATTCCACTATTAATAGCAGAAGCAGGCCAGTGTACATACATGACGTTAAGCTTTTTGATTGTAGCATATGTGCCTGAAACTGACCTTTGCTGAGGCATCTATTTCAAAGACATCCATTCGAATAAACCTACGGCAGCTGCGGACATAGCTACTGGCTACCATCAGGTAAGGAACCGGGCAGCCCTGCCTGGAGGACCCCCTTTCAGAAGCCCTAGATGGCCGAGCCTGGAGCAACCTGCCTCTCCCTTGCCAGCCCCAATTTGCACGCTAGTGCTTTAAAGTCACCACCAAAGGGGGAACCTGTGAAACCCCAGATGCCTCACCCTCAGACCCTGATAGAGGCTGAGCCCAGGTTCACGACCCCTCCCTCCCTCCCTCCCCCCCACTCCCACCCCACCGTGTGGCCTTGAGTGTGCTGTGTGCCCTCAGGACCCATAGGGACAACCCTTGCTCCTCGGAGTCCCCTGAGGCTTGTTGCTGATGTGCATCCTGGGACCCTAAGAACCAAGAGGGCTGGCCCAGCCACGACAGTGGCCCTGGCGGAGGGGGACGTGGCACCACCCGCACAGCAGGTAACTCTCCACGTGGAGGGAGCCGTGGAGCCCTGTAGTAAGAACAAGACACACTGTCGATTTAGTCCACCCTCACACCTGCCTTCGAGGTAGATACTCTCCTGGTTCTGGTTTGAGAGGCAGGGAGACGGACGCTCGGAGGGGAGAAACCTGCCAGGAACAAGGGGCGATTAGGTGGCAGAGCGAGTACTGCAGGCACCTCTGCCGCCACCAGACAAGCGCAGCCTGAGACAGAGCTGTGTGCTCTTGCGTTTATGTCCCTTGAATAAGATGGGTTTCCTGTATCAGACTCAACTATGAAAACAACCGGCTAAATGGTCAGAACATCCGATCAGGTGAACAGACTCTCACATCAGCTTCCTCCAGGCCCGTCACAGCCTGGGGACTGTGGCACTGGTCAGAAGCCAGCCCGTCTCTGCACCGACGCTGCACCCGCTGGCCCGCGTGCCTTCCACGCCGACTTCCGTACAGAAAGCAGCAGTGGCCAGATGCCCTTGCTTTCCCAGTCCTAGCTCACGAAATGCTCAGCCAGGTAACGGAGCTGCATCCCTCACACCATCAGAGGTCACAGGAGAACCCTGGAGACTTTTTTAGTATAAGACAGTAGTCTTTAACTGTCTTTTAAAGAAATAAAAAAAATCTGAAGTGACTTAATTTGTAGATACTATATTTTACAGCTCCCTGAACTTATACATAGCTCATTGGCTCAGAAATTCAAAAATAGGTTTTCTGGATACGGTTGGAATAAAAATGTAATTTACTGTAATATGTGGTGAGACTTTAGACCTTGATCTTCATCAGTGAGCTGCTTCTCACTTAACATGTCATACAGTAAAGTTAGTGTCAAATAAATTCTATAGTTAGGTGAAAATGAATACCCATATTCTGGCATGCAATTTAATCACTAAAAAAGCACTAAAATTTTATGTTAATGCTTTTTCTTTGCATCTCATCTCCCAAACTGAATTTCTCTGGAAAATATCCTAAAATTGAAAATTATCAAATGTTTTTAAAATGCACAGAATAAGAGTTATGACATATGTATATATCATAAAGATACTTTAATAGTTCCCAAGTGAATGAACTTGGAACTATTAAAATGAACTGAAGCACGATGGTTGGTCCTTTTCCAAACCCACCTTGCTGTCCAGGCTTTTCATGGTCAAGAGATCCAGTGTCTTCAGAGAGTGGCCTGTCGGGGAGATGAAGTAGAGGCACACGTGGATGCGAGAGTCGTGGTAGTTAAAGAGGGAGCGTTTGATTTTCAGCTCTTCTTGGAGATAGGCCTCAAACTGAGCGTCGATGTAGTCAACAATTGGTTGGTAGCTGAAAAAACAATTATTTAAATATTTAATACAATATATTCATGATACCTTAATAAGGTATATGCATAAATCTAAAGTTTGAGATCTGTATTTTCACCAGTGAACAGTTGCTATCTATGCTAAACAGATAACTTAAGTAATAAAACAATGTGCAAACGTGCAGGTACAAAGGCAGTACTTTGAAACCATCAGAACAACCTGTGCTTTAAACCATTTTATAGAAACAACACTGAACGTACACTAATTCCCTCTCACACTCATTCACACACTGGAGCCCTTCTGGCACCGCTTCCCACACTTGCCAGGCTGCATCTAATTGCAACCAAACTGGACATGGCATGTTATTCTGCTGAGAGAAGGCACGAGTATCAACAACTTAAAAGATACTTAAGTCAAATTCCATGACTCCCTGCTGCTGAAATCGGATCGTGAGGCGTGGAAAGCATTAACGTAGTAAGGAGGAAGTGCACACCCACGTGGAAGCGCCTAACTGGTGACGCAGGCATGACCTTACTTACAAGCAAGGGAAAGCCCGTCGCAGCCGACACGTGAGTCCTTGCCTGGACCCTCCTCCCACCTGGTGCGTCTGCCCCCACAGCTGTTCCAGGCTGTTCACCCTTCAGGGTGCAGCTCACAGCACGATGCACTGCAGACAATAGTTTGTGAACGGTCCACTTCATTTTGGTACGCTAAATCACCGCCTGTGAACCTCAACTTTCTATGCGTAACTATTCTCATCAGGCAAATCTGGGCTTCCAAGTGAAAAAAGCAGCAAACGGATCCTCTATCAAATTCCCTGGACACCTTTACACTTACCTGTAGCCCCTAAACAGAGCAGTCAGTAACTGTGCAACTGCAGTACTAATAAATGTGCATTCAGCGGAACGCCTGGCCCTGCCAGTCCTCGAGGATCATCACCTCCTTCTTTCAAACTCATAGAACCCCTGTTGTCCCCAGGCACACGGGCACGCAGCTGGGGACAGAGACGGGACCGTACGCTTCTGTGCTCTCCACACAACAACACAACAGCACACCTTCACCACATCAGATGTACTATCGGGGACACCATCCTTGGGAAACTGGTCTAAATGTGACCCAACGTGATGCCATCCCCAAAATAATAAAACAGTAAAAATTAATCTGTAAGTACATATTTAACATAAAATTTCCAAAGAAGCTTCTATTAATGACTTAAAATAGATCAATTATAAATAGCCATAAACACTCCTCTATCTGAATGCTTTGCATAATGCCTGTCATAAATGAAAACCATAAACATTTTTTGTTAAATAAATAATAATAACATTAGAAATTCTTCCACAGTATTTTCCTCTAGGCTTCCGTTTCCAGTACCTTGCAGGTTCAGTCTTCAATGAAATGAAAGACACTGGCTTAAAATACAAAAAACACCTCCTTTTTCAAAGTACTCATAAAGGGTAAGGAAGTAACCACCTCAAAACTGAAGAGAGTAGAAACAGGGAGGTGAGCAGAGGACCAGAGCGGGCTTGGTAAATGGGCCAAATCCAGCCACGTTCCTTTGTTATTCATAGTCTGAGGCTGCTTTTTCGCTACAAGCAGAGTAGTTTGGACAGAGGCCGTAGGTTCTGCAAAGCTTGAGATATTTACTTCTCTGGCCTTTACAGAAAAGGTGTACCAGCCCCTGCACTAAAAGCATCAGTGCTAGTTTCATCCTGAGGCCAGTTTGTCAATGTGGTTCTTCGGCTTTGCTCCCGAAGGATCTGCGGGACAAGAAGGAAGAAAGCGAAGTCCAGGTCCACACAGGAGACTGCCTCCCCACACTGGGCTGAGGTCCTCAGATCTACACCTCAGTGCGGGAGTGAGCTAGAAGTAAACCCGCAGTTCCTCCCCCCTCCCCAAGGATGTGAGGGAAGGTTGCCCTGGCACTAAATGAAGTTGGGAAAATAAACGGAGAGGGAGAACCAGCCTGAAGAACTTGTGGCCACAGGGTCAGCCCTCGCAGGAATCCACGGCCCGGGTTCACACATGGCCTCTGATTCTGAGAACCTCAAGCCACGAAACTAGGATCCTGAGTATTAACACCCAGAGGGACCTAATGTAAGCAAATCCAAATCTGTTCTGAGTATCTCTGCAAATAACTTTTCAAAGATCATGAGAACTCCAATAAAAAAACAACCAAGCATATAGGGGACAAAAGGCACAATGAATAAGAACCAACGGAAAAAACAAACATCAGTACAATAACTGCAAAATTGCAATGTACTGGAATTATAAGATATAGTTACAAAATAGAGACAAAAGAAATAGAAATAAAGGTGAACTTGAATATATGTGCTGGGAATAGTAAAGTAACAAAAAGTGATCCTACAGATATGAATATGAACCACACAGAATGTACAGATTTGAAAACTATAATAACCAGAATGAAAAACTCATGGATTAGTTTAAAAGCATATTGGACACAGCTAAAGAGAGAATCAGTACACTGGAGGATAAATCCAAACTAATTATCCAGAAAACAATAGAGAGAAGAAAAAAAAGATAAAACTATGGAAGAGAGATTAATAAACACAGAAGACATAACGAGAAGGTCTAACATACATTTTAACACCGTTTCAGAAGGGGCAGAAACAGCATCTGAAGAGATGATGTCTCAGATTGTTTAAAAGAACTGATGATACTGTTCAGACTCAAGAAGTCAAACAAATCACAATCAGGATAAATTATAAATAAATAAAACCTAGATATATCACGGTAAAACTGGAGAACAACAAAAACAAAGATCTTAAAAGCACTGGAGGAAAATATGGAGGATACTCTTAAGGGGAAGACAGACTCACAGCTGCCTTCTCAGCAGTAAAAACAGAAGCCAGGAGACAGTGGAATGGTATCTTCAGTGGGAGGAAAGAAAATAAATGCCCACCCATTTATACCCAACTAAATTGTTGGGTATAAATTGTATACCCAACTAAAATTTCAAGTATGTATACCCATACCCAACTAAAATTTCAAGTATGAGAGTAAAGCAGAAAATTTTGTTTAAGAGAGTAGTAAATACTGGCTATATAAAATGATAATAATACTGCCTTGTGTGGTTAGGAAGAAGAGAGAGAAAACATGACAGGGTAAGTTGGAGGGGTGGGGGGGCGGTTAACAGTTTAACTGTTCAAAATTCCATTTTATTGTCTATTTGTATCATCGAGGACAAGTACAAATATTAATTAACCTCAAACCTTGATTAGGTTAGAGATTATGTTTGTAATTTCTAGGGTAACAGCTACAAGAATAGAAATCAAGCAAGAAAGGAAAAAGAAACGTGAAACTCGCGACAAACAGAAAACTCAAAATAAGATGGTAAATTTAAACCTAATATCAGTAAATATATTACCTGTGAATGGACTAAGCACACAATTAAAAATAAATATTGTCACAGTGGATTTTGAAAAGGAAAACCATATGCTTGATCAGAAGCACACCTAAAGTACAAGAGTACCCAAAGGCTGGAGTGAAGGAAAAGAAGAGCATGCCTCCACAAGGAAGTGACCTCTGACAACACAGAAGCCTCACAAGAGGAAGAGGTCGCTACCTAGTGATAAAAGCGTCTATTCTTCAGGATAAAAGAAAAGAAAAAGTTAATTGAAATGGGAAATATCAATACTACATATCAAAATGTGTGGGATGCAGCCACACTTAGAGGGTAAGTATGGGTAAAGCCATACTTAGAGGGTAATTTATAATCTTAAATACATAAGGCTGAGAATCAGTGAGAAATCAGAGAAAATTAGATCAAAATCCAAAGAAAAGTAATTACAGATATAAGAGCAGAAATTAATAAAATAGGAAAAACAGTAAGTATAAAATTGATAGGATCGACAAAGCCAAAATTTGAAAAGGCCAAGTAAACTTACCACACTTTGTCAAGGCTGACCAAGGAGAAAAGAAACAAGCACAAATAACCAGTACCAGGAAAGGAGGTGTAGATGTCATTACAGATGATGAAGACAATGAAAATATATTAGAAGAATATTATCAACATCTTTAAGTAAATATATTTGGGAATTTGGATGAAACAGACTCCTGGAAAATTGTAACTTTTCAAAACTGTCTCAAAAAGCAACTCCAAATTGTCCTATAATCATTAAAGAAAATTAATAACTCAAAATCTTCTCAGAAAACTCCAGGCCCAGATGGTTTTACTGGCAAGTTCCACCAATCATTCCAGGGAAGAATAACTCTAATCTTACACACATTTTTCCAAAAAACAGAGTGAAAAACTCCCCAAACTCATTTTAGAAGGCTAACATAACATTTATTTAAAAAAAAAAAAAAGTATAAGATACTGGTTGAAAACCTCACTTATAGACATAACATGCAAAAATACTAAAAGGAAAAACAAAATCAGATACAGCACAATATAAAAAGAATACCAAATGGTATCCAAGACTGCCAGGTTAATTTACCAATAAAAAGTCAGTTACTGTAATTCATCTTATTAAAGATTAAAGGAGAAAAATTACAATCTTTTCCACAGAATCCAAAAAATACCTGATAATAATATGTATTCATGATTTTAAAAAAACAACTCTTACTAATAATATAAAGTAACTTCCTTATTCTAACTGAAAAAAAGAAAGCAGCACAATTCAGGGCAAAAAGGAAGCTTTCCCTTTGGAGTCAGGGCAAGGCAAAGATGCCCACTATCTCCACTGACTCTAGTGGAGTACTGCCAGTCCCAGTGCAGTCAGGTATTAAAATGCGAGAAAGGAAATAAAGACCACTGTCTTCAGCCATGCTGGAGGAGCAGCAACTGGATCCACACCCCGCCCCCG